CAGAATAATTATTTTTGTAACTTTTATATATAAAACATCAACAATATTACTTTTGCAAATATTTCCTTTCTATGGAATGATACACAATAGAGCGGGATTCATTAAAAAATATAAGTGGTTGAATTTCAAGTAAGAAATCTATACAGGGTTTGTTAACTTCTTGGAATCTTGCTAACTTACATCAAATCTACTATTTTGTCTTTGTGTTCTGTCACAGCCATTTGTGGCTACTTTCTAATTTTCTAATCTTTAATTTCCTATAAAATGCTTTACATGTCAAAATAAATTACTAATTCAGACATTGCTATGAAAAACAGAAATCCCTTTGATCAAAAAAAGGAACAGATATTTGGATTATGGAGCATAAATTATACTCTGGTATATTTATGCAAAAGGGTTAAGGCCAAAGAAAGAATCTGCTTGCTTATTAAAAATGCAAACATTACCTCAGTCATACAAATAGCCCCAAACTCGCCCAGCCACTGCCTCTGCAGATCACCCACCAGCATTAGCATTACATCATATGACATTATGAAACAATAGTGAACTCTGTGTAATACTTGAATATATTGTTTTGAAAGAATAAACTGTCATTAAGTTGAATAAAAGCTTTCTGAAATCAAACCTGGGGGGTACAGCCTTCACTGTGTGGCCTTTTTACTATTTTGAGGAATGGCTTCATCCTGAAAGCAGGAAAGGGGGAAAAAGAGATCAGAGTATAAAGGCGACAGTGATGTGTGGCCCCTGAAGCAGCTCAGGAGGCAGAGGGCAGGGCTTTTAATTATCAGGCAGAACAATGTCAAAGCAGGAGGCTCTGCAACAAATGCTGCACCTAAAAACCCAAACAACCTCATACCCACCACGCTAGTTCCTGTATATCCTAGTGATTAATGGGCTTTGCTGGAATTGGAAACGAAGTCTCATTCTATGCCCTGATGCAATCTTAAAATGTGCTATCACTTACAGCCATGTGACTTCAAGCAATTAATTGAAGCTATCTAGGCCTCAATATTTTAATCTATAAAAATAGAAAGAACAATAGCTATTATGTAGAAGCATGGGGGATAAGATACTATTATCATAATTACACTTATCATTCCCACCCCCTTTGCCTATCTTTCCTAATCACGGCCCAAGGTGTTTCGTCTTCACAAGTGAAACATGAGCATTGCCTTAAATGCTCACTGGCTTTTTGCTTGCTGTAGTCTGGCCACAGCCACATGTTGTCATTTCTAGATTCATGCCATTCTCATCAAGTGGGGGTGCAGTGAGAGGATGAATTATAGAAACTATTTTCTATAGTATTTTTTAAAACTTGGGCCGGGCATGGTGGCTCATGCCTGTAGTCTCAGCACTTTGGGAGGCTAAGGTAGGAGGCGCACTGGAGTCCAGGAGCTTGAGACCAACATGGGCAACATAGTGAGACCCTGTCTCTACAAAAAAAAAAAATGCATTTTAATTAGCCGGGTGTGGTGGTGCACACTGTAGTCCCAGCTACTCTGGAAGCTGAGGTGGGAGGATCACTTGAGCCCAGGAGGTTGAGGCTGCAGTGAGCCATGATCTCATCTCTACCTTCCTTAACCAAATCCCAGATAACCTCTTCCTATAACCTGCTCCTTACTAGCCTTCCTCCTTCCTACACCTATTCTCAATGTTCTTAATAACCAAGGCTCAAAGAGGTGGAAAAACAAAGCCAGACAACCTAATAGTTGGTGGCAAAGTCCCAGTTAAAACTCATTTATCAATGAAACCAGGTCCAGTTGCATTGCATTAACTGTATCACATTAATTATTCACTTTTAGGGCACTCGGTGATGATTTATTTATTTTGAGACAGAGTCTTGCTTTGTCGCCCAGACTGGAGTGCAGTGATGCAATGTTGGCTCACTGCAAGCTCCACCTCTTGGGCTCAAGCGATACTCCCACCTCAGCCTCCTGAGTAGCTGGAACTACAAGTGCCCACCACCATGCCCAGCTAAGTTTTGTATTTTTTGTAGAGACAGTGTTTTGCCATGTTGGCCAGGCTAGTCTCAAACTCCTGTGCTCAGGTGATCCAACCGCCTCGGCCTTTCAAAGAGCTAGGATTATAGGCATGAGCCACCATGCCCAGCCCTCAGTGATGACTTCAAATCTGAGGTTAGCTTCCCTTAACACCAAGTCTTCTCCTACATATTTCCCCTACTAGTGATTATCATAAAACAAATTACAGTTAATCCTTGAACAACATGGGTCTCAACCACATGGGTCCACTTATATGTGGATTTTCTTCTGCCTTTGCCACCCCTAAGACAGCAAACTAACCCCTCCTTTTCCTCCTTCTCAGCCTACTCAACGTGAAGACAATGATGAAGATCTTTCTGATGATCCACTTCCACTCAATGAATAGTTAATGTACTTTCTCTTCCTTTTAATTTTCTTTTCTTTTTTTTTTTTTTTTGGATACTGAGTCTCACTCTGTCGCCCAGGCATGATCTCAATCACTGCAACCTCTGCCTCCTGGGTTCAAGCGATTCTTGTGCCTCAGCCTCCCAAGTAGCTGGGACTACAGCTGCACGCCACCACACCCAACTAATTTTTGTATTTTCAGTGCAGATGGGGTGTCAGCATGGTGGCCAGGCTGATCTCGAAACCCTGACCTGAAGTGATCCATCCTCCTCAGCCTCCCAAAGTACTGGGATTACAGGCATGAGCCACTGCGCCTGGCCTTCCTTATAATTTGCTTCATACATTTTCTTTTGTTTAGTTTACTTGATTGTAATAATACAGTATATAATACATATAACATAAAATATGTGTTAATCAACTGTTTCTGCTATCAGTAAGGCCTCTAGCAAACAGAAGGCTATTAGTAGTCAAGTTTTGGGTAAGTTGAAAGTTATATGCAGATTTTTGTGGGTTTTTTGTGTTATTTTTCCCCTGAGATGGAGTTTCACTCTTGTTGCCCAAGCTGGAATGCAACAGCACAATCTCGGCTCACTGCAACCTCCATCTCCCGGTTCTAGCAATTCTCCTGCCTCAGCCTCCCGAGTAGCTGGGATTACAGGCGCGCGCCACCATGCCCGGCTAATTTTTTGTATTTTTAGTAGAAACGGGATTTTACCATGTTGGCCAATATGGTCTCGATCTCCTGACCTCAGGTGATCCACCCACCTCAGCCTCCCAAACTGCTAGGATTATAGGCCACCATGCCCAGCAGACTTTTTTTTTTTGAGACAGGATCTCACTCTGTCACCTAGGCTGAAGTGTACTGACATGACTACTGCTCACTGCACCCTTGACCTCCTGGGCTCAAGCGATCCTCCTATGTCAGCTTCCCAAGTAGCTAGGACGACAGACATGTGCCACCATGCCTAATTTTTTGTATTATCTGTCAAGACAGAGTTTCACTGTATTGCCCAGGCTAGTCTTGAACTCTTGGACTCAAGTGATCCTCCTGCCTCAGGCTCCCAAAGTGCTGGAATTACAAGTGTGAGCCACCATGCCCTACTATTGTTAGCTTCTTTAGAGAATCACATTATTCCTCAAAATCATGAAAACTAAGAAGATGAATAGGCCAGGCGAGGGGGCTCACGCCTGTAATCCCAGTGCTTTGGGAGGCCGAGGCGGGTGGATCACCTGAGGTCAGTAGTTCAAGACTAACCTGACCAACATGGTGAAACCCCATCTCAACTAAAAAAAAAAAAAAAAAATTCTAGCTTGGCACGGTGGCAGGCGTCTGTAATCCCAGCTACTTCAGGAGGCCGAGACAGGAGAATCGCTTGAACCTGGGAGGCGGAGGTTGCAGTGAGCCAAGATCACGCCATTGCACTCCAGCCTGGGGGACAAGAGCGAAAACTCTGTTTCAAAAAAATATATATATATATATATAAAAAACATATATATATATAGTGTTATTTTACATAAAAGTCAGAATGTTTACCAAAGTCTAACCCTGAGGTCTGTAGGGAAGAAATTGAAAGCTTGTATTTCCTTATCTATGAAACAGATGAAGCACTGGTAAGAATAAGACAATATATGGATCATCTATAAAGCACCATTTGTTTTTGTTTTTTAAATAGTGTGGAACAGTGTAACATAAGATTTGACATCAATGAAGAAGGTTCAAGTTCAACCTCTCTATATGCCAGCTGCCTGATCTCACCCTAATCACTGAAACATGTTTAATGATGTAAGAATTAAAGGGATGATATGTGTATGAGTAAGGATCTCTTAATACAAATAGCTATGTAAATGTAAGATGTTTTACATTGTATTATACCAAGTTAAATAAACCAGGGCCTTATGTTCATTATTTCCTAATCTTTAGTGGGGGTGAGGGAGGAGGGAACTAAAGGACTCTTACAGCAGAAACACCAGTTAATATAAAATCATCTCCACCACTTAATGGAGACACGAAAATAATAAAGTTGTGGCCTTGGTGTCAAAAGGTAACTACCACAATATATGCTAACTGGGTGGGTAATCTCTCTTTTCAAACACACACTCTCACATAAAACAGTGGCCAGGATTAATTACAAGTGTATCAGTAGTGATGGAGATTTTCTCTATGGATCTGAACTAGTCCACCACTGTCCGGATCACAAATAACAATGAAAATCTTTTCATGGGAATATAACAGGAAAGGGCCATTTTCGACCTCATTCATTCACTTACTCAGTCCCTATCTTATACCAGGTTCTATTTCAAGTGCTGGGAATTCAACAGTGAGCAAAAGAGGAAATACCATCATAGAGCTCACATTCTAGCAGAGAAATATAGACAGTAAACATATTTGCAATAGGTCAATGATAATTAAGGGCTATAGAGAAAAACAGGTAGGGAAAGGTCTGCAATTTTTAATTTGGGAAATCAAGAAAGGCTTCACTGAGAAGATGCCATTTAAACAAAGACCTAAAGGAGATGAGAGAGCAAAATAAATGGATATGGATACGTAGAAAGAAAGTAGTAGGGCTACACAAATCTCTCCAGCAAGTTCAGATAAAACAAAATGCAATCCTTTACCTTTCAGAAGGGGCTGGAAGGTTGGAATCTCTTGCAACTTGATGACATCGGGATCATTGCTGACGTTCCGTGAGGCCTGGGAGCCCTGAGCTACAACCACAATATCATCCATCTTGGCTCTATGCTTGGCTGGTGAAGGAGTCACTGAAAATAAAGTTACACTGCTTAGGAGATGCGTATTAGTTAGGCACCTCTGCCTCACCAAGGCAGTTTTCGGTGTAGTGATTAAAAACAATAATTTTATACAATGTAGCTATCTTGCAGTTGGGGTTGGGGTGGCGGGGATGAATTATAGAAACTATTTTCTATAGTATTTTTTAAAACTCAGGCTGGAGCCAGGCACGGTGGCTCATGCCTGTGATCTTAGCACTTTGGGGGGCCAAGGCGGGCAGATCACCTAAGGTGAGGAGTTTGAGACCAGCCTGGCCAACATGGCGAAACCCTGTCTCTACTAAAAATACAAAAATTAACAGGGCATGGTGGCGGGTGCCTGTAATTCCAGCTACTCAGGAGGCTGAGGCAGGAGAATCATTTGAGCCCAAGAGGCAGAGGTTGGGGTGTGGTAAGATCATGCCACTGCACTCGAGCCTGGGCAACAGAGCGAGACTCTGTTGCAGGAAAAAAAAAAAAAAACACCACCTCGGGCTGGGCGTGGTGGCTCATGCCTGTAATCTCAGCACTTTGAGAGGCTGAGGCAGGAGGATCACCAGCGTCCAGGAGTTCAAGACCAACCATAGGGAGACCCTGTCTCTACAAAAAAAAAAAAAAAAATTCTTTTAATTGGTCAGATGTGGTGGTGCACACTATAGTTCCAGCGACTCAGGAAGCTGGGATGGATCACTTGAGCCCAGGAGGTCAAGACCGCAGTGAGCCATGATCACACCACTTCATGGGTAAGAGAACGACAGTCTCAAAAAACAAAACAAAACAACAACAACAACGAAAACCCTCAGACATTACAGGAATTTATTTTATTTTGATGCAGAGCCTCACTCTGTTGCCAGGCTGGAGTACAGTGGTGCAATCTCCGCTTACTGCAACCTCCGCCTCCTGGGTTCGAGTAATTCTCCTGCCTCAGCCTCCTGAGTAGCTGGGACTATAGGCACACGCCACCACACCCGATTAATTTTTGTATTTTTAGTAGAGGTGGGGGTTTCACCATATTGGCCAGGCTGGTCTCAAACTCCTGACCTCGTGATACAACCGCCTTGGCCTCCCAAAGTGCTGGGATTACGGGTGTGAGCCACCGCACCTGGCCCATTACGGGATTATATAACATGAATAAACTTCTTTCGTAACTAAACGTTTTCTTTTTCAGCACATAAAAGTATAGGCAGATTGTTTTCATTTTCTCCTTCTTTAATTATCCTGATATCTTGACATATATATATATATCCCTATTTCTAAAACGAGAAATAAAGGGTACAAAATTTAACTGTGACTTGCCCAAAGTCAGCAATGCTAGAAAGTTAGGAAAGGAATTAGAGGTCTCTAAGTTACTGGTACACAAGGCCCATCTCTGCGACACTGGAGTTGCAAAGCTGTCTATCCATCCTACCACATCAAGCCAGCTATGTTAAGTCCAGGAAAACACCCTGGTCTCAGCCCCCAAATGACTGGCCTATTCCAGACGCTTCAGCCTCCTTTTTTTTTTTTTTTTTTTT